TTTCCATTTCTTATATAAACATCCAATGCTCCTGGTACACAATGTGCCAAAAAAATTCAAGATATGTTTTATTTTCCCATTCATATCTCTCCAGAACTAGAGAAAAAATACAAACAATAACTTCTGATTCTCTTTAATAAAAGCTTTATAGGACAAGCCTGAACATATAGTTTCTTAAGAAGTATACCACCTATTCTATCACCTATAAACCGGTTAAAAAAACTATAAATTAAATATGGAAGCAGTAATTTTAAATGATTATTTTTGTAAGAAATATCCAAACAAATGCAGGAATAAGCACTTGGAGAATTACAACGAGGTCTATTTAGTTCGATAATTTAATTAAGCTTCACACGTAAAGCTCTTACTACTTTAATGCGATGTACTGTGTCCATGGATGGTGCTGGTTATAACATTACCAAATTTGTGATGCACCATTACTTGACATTATCTGGTATGTCATCAAAACAAATCTTTGAAAAATACAGAACCTTTTGAATAACGATGAAAAGTAAAATTTTTCTTCTTGAAATAATTCATAATGGTGGTTAAAGAATGACAATTTAACCATTTTTTACCTGGGCTTGTTGAAACATATATTTCGCTTTGGTTAACATTTGGAAATAGTTGATCCGGACATAATATCAAATTTATTTACCATCAGGTGTTAAACAAAACAATAACATGACTTAATTAGTCTCTGGACAATGAGAACAATAACCAATAAAACCTTTGCACTGAGTCAGCAATAATTTTACAGCACAGCATTTATTTTATTAACATGTGCTTTTTTGATTCTGGACAGAGAAGTCTACTGGCTTTGCAAAGATATGTTTCAACAACACAACATTCATTAAGTGTCATGACAAAGATATACAAAGTAAGAACTGTTATTATACTTAAGTAAAAATGTTACATATTTTCATCCTTCAGCAACATTTTTACAAGAGATTAAAAAAGTATGTAATCCAACTAATAACATCTGTCAACGTGAATGTACGGTCACCACACTGATATTTAATTTTCCAAGTTTATTGATAGGTTTAAACCACTTGGTCTGTTATGCAACACACAGGTGTTTCCAACATTTCAAACTACTTGGTGCAATTTTCTTATGGGTCCTCTCTGTAGTGATTAGTTATAGGTAAAGAAATTTCTAAGTTTTTTTGCATTACTTTGGGGCCCACAATACGAAGGGCCTGTCGGTGCATTGCCCCAATGTTAAATACGCCACTGATGTAACATCATTTAACTAAACTGTAGCAGTTGATTAATTATAAACACCAAGATGACTTTATCATGACACAACATTAAATTCGTCTATACAGCCAGCAGACTGTTCACCATGATAGATATTCACATAGTTATTCGTTTCCTTTGAATAAAACTAAAACTACTAAATACAGAAATTATACCTTACAAACTGCTGGAAAAACTGAAGTATTTTACTAGGAAAGAACTAACAACCAACATAAGTAACAAACATGACACGTGTAAGGAATGTTGGAGACATTAAAAGATTGTGTTCCAAGTAAAGAAGTCCAATAAGATAAAATGTTTCACAATTTCTTCTCTTTTAGTTATGTCATAAATCTATTTGAAGATCTTCACATGTCTACATATAGTGGAAGATAAATATACTAAATTAGGAAACAAACTGAATGTTCTTTACAAATATAGAAAAAAAAAACTATTCATTACAGTTCCTGCCCTATTGTAAGCATCTCATTATCCCAAGAAAACCAGTAATATTGGGAAATTTATAAACTTTTATTTCTTCCAACCTCCCAGCCAGCCACGGACAAAACCACTAATACCACCACCTTTCTTTTGCTCTAAGTGTTCATCTAAAGATGGAAATTCTACGTGGTTAAGAGCCAGGTCGAAAAATAAAGGTTTACAGGGAACTGGCTTATAGTCTGGAGGAAAAGGTGCTATATGAGGCTGTCGAGACACGAGGGATGGGTCTTCAAAATACTGGTCCAAACGATCTGCAAGTGTCTATTCAAAGAGAGAATAACAAATTGATTTAAAGAAATCACTAAATACTAATACTTACGAATTTATGGGAAATTAAACATTAATAAAATGGTAACATCTTAAGTTCAATTATTTTTATCAGAATTTTGTTTTCTAAATATTTTTACCTTTGAAAAAAAAGTTCAATGACAAAACAATTATCTATATTTTCTGAAAGTTATGAAGTGTATTTGTTACAGAAAAATCATTTCAAGCAACTTCATGTAAAAGAAACATTGTTTTAATATAATCAACAGACAGCCTATGCTAAAATTAACCACAAACATTGGTAATGGAACTATTCAAAATGTTTTTATTCAATGGCATACAAGTTTGGTCTCTAAGGCAATACATAGACACCTTGAACTAAACATTTGATATAGAAGTGGAAATATACGAATATCATTTTCTTTCATTGATAGCAAACAATACTATGGTAGGAAAAAAAAAATCAAACCTTTTTATCTTGCAGCGACATCTTGGTCATCTTTTCTGCCATCTCATCATTACCAAGGATGCCCATAGCATGTGCCGAGTACTTGTGTCCTTCAGTTAATCCTTGTAACTCTTTCAATGAAATAGACAGTTCCTGAAGGAAAGAAAAAAATGCAATGTAAGAATTACGCACGGTGGTTGTTTGAAAGAGAAAAACAGAAGTATGTTGTAGGTTAAACCATCAAAGACAACGAGGTGTTAACTACAGATATATATATTAACACTTTGTTGTCTTTGGTGATTTAACCTAAACATATTTCTGTATTTAAAAATTCATGTGAATAAGAAGTAAAAATAAACTACAATGCAGTAAAGTAATCTCATCAAATGCCGAACTAATAAGTTTACATGTAATGCACATTCATAATGGGCATATTAAGAAAAATGTGGAGTGTGAAATATCGACAGTCCTGCATGATTTTTATCAAAATCATTAAGTCTACTTTTTGTTTTGTTTTGAAATTACTCTTATGATTAAAAGGAAGGAATTTGATAATAACTGCTTTATTGTCCCAGTTGTTCAGCAGGAAAAAAATAGGAGGAATTTCGAAAATAGTTATAAAAAGATTAAAAATGAATGCTTGTATTATTATCTTAAATACTCAAATTTTATCAACAAGAAATGCATTCAACAGATGCGTATAGTACTTTAAAAGTTGAAAGAGGGTATTGATATACTTTACCATAAATTATGTGCACACTGTAGCATTTTTCTATATTTAAGGACAAGTTATAACTGAATTAAAAACACGTAATTTTCTACTGTAGGAAAACTGAAGTAAAGACATTGTAACTACTTGTTCAGCTTGCGACATAATAGAACATTACTTTGTTCAACGATCCATCAGCAAGAGCACTTTCAGCATATTCTTCCACTCGCTGGTAGAGGGCCATGGCTTCTGTCCACTTACTTGCTGCTGAGAAAGCCTGTGCGATGTAATAACACCTGTATAGAGAAATATCAGTAATAAACAGATGAATTTAGAAAGACAGAAATAATGTAAGTTAGGATAATAGTAGTATAAATTCAGTAGAATTTTGTTTGATGTTTGTAGTTCACATACAATATTACTGGCAGAATAAAATATTTGTTATCTGAAACTAATTACTCTCCAGTTTTACCTATTCTGATATTCCTTACAATATGTTGACTTTATGTAATAAATGTATCGCTTGAAGATAAGATACCTATAATTCTTTAAACTGTAATCCCCTTGTACAAAACAAAATATCTGTAGTAACATAAAGAAGTTATTTTTGAGAAATTCACAAGAAATAGGTGCTTTTTGTCCTTATTACACTGGCATACAATCAGTAAAGAAAAGTTAATTTATTACTTAATTTACTTGTAGCAAAAAAAAACAAATTTACACAAAAAATACTTTACAGTCTAGAATTACTTTAGAGATAAGCTCTGAAACTATTAGGTCTATTATATTATGACAAGAATAATTATAATCATGCTTCACCAACTTGAAACATGCATTCACAACTGTTTGTATCAAATGGCTTACATAAATAGTGTTCTGTCCACTGGATTGAGCCCTTTGTTCACAATGGATACGGTGAAAATAGTTTAGTTGGAATAACATTATTATACCTACTATTTCTCAACAATCCTTATGAGACTACATAAAGAATGTGGTGTTTACAAATATAATAAGACTGATACTAATGTCTTATGACAAGTAAAATTAGTATATGTTATTCTAGTCAATCCAATATGTCCTCTGTTCTAATAGCTGCAGTAGAAGTGTTAACTTAAGATGTCCAAGTGAAACACAGATAGTTTGTGGCAACTAATTTAACACTTGTGTATGGAAGCATATTACGCAAATATAATAGGCCTAATACTAATGTCTTACGACAAGTAAAATTAGTATATGTTATTCTAGTCAATCCAATACGTCCTCTGTTCTAATAGCTGCAGTAGAAGTGTTAACTGAAGATGTCCAAGTGAAACACAGATAGTTTGTGGCAACTAAATTAACACTTGTGTATGGAAGCATATTATGCGAATATAATAGCATATTGACAAACAACAATTTATAAGCATCAGGTTTTTATTTTGGGGAATGTACTACATGTTTTGACAGAACATTGGTCTGTTTTCAGGCAAAACATATATTAAAATGATTTTTTTATTAAAAAATGAATTATTATGAGCTTTTTGATCAAAACAAATCAGGCCACATTCCAAGGTTCAAAGTACAAACAGTTAACTGACCTCAATGCTTTGTAAGCTAAGATCTCTGCCTGAATTTCCTCAACAAACTGGGAACCTGGGTCAACTCCTGGTAACTGAGAGATTTCTTTTAAGTTCTACAAAAACATAGTATTAAATATCTTTAATAGTGTTCAAAAGACAATATAAACTATTTTCATAAAATAAAAATACGACTGTCATGACCAAATATGTTGGTCATTATATCAACCTAGCAACACCTTTGTAAATATTTTGACTATCCATTTGAAATATTTATAGTATCTAGTAAAGAATAAACATTTATATTCTGTTTCATATTTGATGTCCCTCTTCTCCATTGTGTATCAATAACAGGTTGCAAAATCTTTGATGTCCCTCTTCTCCATTATTATGTAAATTACTACATCTTAAACATAATATTACTTATTATGTAAATTACTATACCTTAAATATAATATTACTTATTATGTAAATTACTATACCTTAAATATAATATTACTTATTATGTAAATTACTATACCTTAAACAATAGAATACACTAACTGTTTTACCAAGTCTTGTTACAAAATGTGAAACAAATAAGATATGTATTTTCTCACCACAAAGTTAAAATATTAAATCCCTAACCTGAATAATTATCTCATATGGTCGGATGAGATCCTGTGGTTTGGTGGTTTTTTTCCCTTCATTAGAATTATAGAGTGATTCTTTGAGAGAGTCAATCATCAAAATGTTGCGTATTATAGTTTTACTCAATCTTATATACGACAAGTAGGAATGAAGGAACGTGAGACTTGAAACTGTTCCATCACCTGTCTGGCTACGAGACTTAGGATTCTGGAAATGAAATACACAAAGGTTAAAGAAACATTCCTACAATGATATCAGATTTAAAATATACAAGTTCTAAATGTAAAACAGATTTACAAGGAACTTTTGAGATCCAAACAAATGTCAAGCACAAACACATTACCAACAGTTTTTTAAGTAAACATTACTTACTGATTCTACATACACAACTATCTAAACACAATAATATTCAAGTACCTGATCAGATTTCAGTTCATCTCTAAGGAGTTGTAGAGCATCCTTGCATTCCATGAGTAGTCTTTCATAAACTTCAATTTTTGCTGTTAAATCTGGAGCTCTCTTCACCTCAGTCTCAACTTCTTGGGCATTAAGTAGAAACACTCGAACCTTTTCTTGTCTCACAGGCACAGTTCGGCCTAGCCAGGTGACCTCTGATAAAGTGGCTGCCTGCTTCTCTCGAGTCTGGGATATTAGGTGCTGACAAAGAATACCAATCAAACTTAAAAGCATGTTGAATCTCTTCGTGCAACTACTACTTAGTCCTATGGACTTGTTCAATTTCACCAACCTTGTAACCAACCGTTAAACTATACATAACTCTGAATGTACTAAGTGTATCTTCATGACATATGTCAAACTTTTAGTAAACATTACAAGTCTGTTGTTTGTACAGAAAAAAAATCTAAAGATTTGTCTGTGAATTTACCAAGTCAGTCTGAGAGAAAGATGAAGTCATTAGTCAGTCTGAATGAAAGACGAATTTCATGCTCAGAATAAGAATACTTCTTTTCATCTAACAGTTTTCATGTTTCATTTGCATAACCTCTAGAACTTCCTAAATGAAAACAAATGGTCAGGTTACATCATGTAATGCTTATACAGAGAGCCCCCTATCAGTCATTCTCATGAAATATTTTTATTTAGTTTTTGAGTTACTTTTGTTAAGAAAAAATAATAATACATAAAAAACATATGTGAAAAACTATAAATTAGCACTTACTTTAGGCATCAAGGCCATGATTCAGTAAAACTTAAATCAAGGTCTCCAGCCAGTATATAAAACACTTACATCAAGGTCTCCAGCCAGTATATAAAAACTTACATCAAGGTATCCAGCCAGTATATAAAAACTTACATCAAGGTCTCCAGCCAGTATATAAAACACTTACATCAAGGTATCCAGCCAGTATATAAAACACTTACATCAAGGTATCCAGCCAGTATATAAAAACTTACATCAAGGTCTCCAGCCAGTATATAAAACACTTACATCAAGGTCTCCAGCCAGTATATAAAACACTTACATCAAGGTCTCCAGCCAGTATATAAAACACTTACATCAAGGTCTCCAGCTA